TGTGAGTATGCTTACTGCATAATTAAATGTCTTACTCTGAAAGGACCAATATTTTATATTAGAAAAATAAATATAAAATATTGGTCCTTTCAGAGTAAAACATCTAATATATATAATATGCAATATATTACATGTGACAATACATTGCGCAATTACTTATGGGGCTGGCATAGATTTTTTTCCAGTGCTGCTTCGTATCCCCAGTCTGGCCCTGATAGCCGCACATTGACACAAATGGCTCTATCAGACAATACTCATCGATCTTATGATAGGGCCTTCTCTTTATACAATAGGTTCATACTTGAATATAACATAACAAATATGTATGACATAACATTGTTGGTAGTATTCATTACCTTTTGGCCACCTTCAGTTAAACTTATCTCACAATAACAATAAATTATACCCGACCAGCATTCAACATTACATGTTTTCTACATTACCGAACAATCCTAGTTTTCTACCATCCTATCTGATTAAAACAATTAAAGGTATCCAGAAAGCCAGCTATTCAACCTCACAACAATGCTATCAATCTACAAACAATTATTCCAAGCCCTGTCTGACTTACTAGACTCAGCCCCGTTTGAATCTAACTCTAACTTGGGTATTAAGATGGCTATATAGCTGGCTTTTTATGGATTTCTCAAGCCACTGGAATTTTCTACCACTAACACTCCCAAAATAATCCTTAAAGATCCTATCTGGTTAAACATCAGAATCATTAAATAAATGTGTGACCTTGTTTCCTATCTATAGCCCTGTTTATGAATAGATTTCCAGATAATGGCTTGTACTGGCCCCTGAATACATTTGTATAATGTTATCATATCCCCTCGCCTTTTTCCAATCTAAAAAGATTCAAATTTTTTAACCTTTCTTCGTAACTAAAATGCTCCTTTTTTTATCTTTAAAACAGGTGCCCAAAATTGCACAGCATATTCAAGGTGTGGTCTTACCAGCAATTTATAAAGAGGCAAAAATATATTTCCATCCCGAGAATTTATGCCCCTATTTACACATGACAAAACCTTACTGACCTTAGCAACTGCAGATTGACATTGATATTGCTGCCTAATTTGTTGTCTATAGCAATTCCCAACTCCTTCTCTTGTGTGGTTATCCCTAATTCACTACCATTTAGGGTGTAAGTTGCTTGTGCATTCTTGACCCCAAAGTGCATAACTTTGCATTTCTCTACGTTAAATTTCATCTGCCATTTTAGTGCTCAGTCACCCAATCTATCAAAATCCCTCTGCAGCAAAGCAATATCCTGCTCACATTTTATTATTTTACAAAGTTTTGTGTCATCTAAAAAAACAGTGAAACATAGCTTTCAATGCCTACTTCAAGATCATTTATAAGTATGTTAAATAGAAGCGGTCCCAAAATAGAACCCTGAGGGACACCACTTACCACTTTTGTCCAGCCTGAAAATTTACCATTAATGACAACTTATGTACTCTATCCTTAAGACAATGTTCTACCCAAGAACAAGAATAATCATCTAGACTAATTTCTTTTAGTTTGATGACTAACCTATTGTAAGGAACCGTATCAAATGCCTTGGAAAATCCAAGTAGATCACATCCACTGCAACACCCTGATCTATACTTACTTCTTTGTAGAATGCAAATAGGTTAGTTTGACATAACCTATTTTTGATAAAACCATGCTGATTATTACTAATAACAAAGTTCTTCCCCATGGATTCCTGAATATTATATTCCTTAATAGCCCTTCAAATATTTTCCCAGTCACAGAAGTTAAGCTCACAGGTCTATAATTTCCAAGCAAGGTTTTGAAGCATTTTTAAATATTGGAACGACATCTGCCTTCCTCCAATCTTCTGGTACAATACCCGAAACAAAAGATAGAAGCGGTCCCAAAATAGAACCCTGAGGAACACAACTTACCACTTTTAAATAGAAGCGGTCCCAGAATAGAACCCTGAGGGACACCACTTACCACTTTTATCCAGCCTGAAAATTTACCATTAATGACAACTTGTACTCTATCCTTAAGACAATGTTCCACCCAAGAACAAGAATAATCATCTAGACCAATTTCTTTTAGTTTGCTGACTAACCTATTGTAAGGAACCGTATTAAATGCCTTGGCAATATCCAAGTAGATCACATCCACTGCAACACCCTGATCTATACTTCTACTTACTTCTTCGTAGAATGCAATTAGGTTAGTTTGACATAACCTATTTTTCATAAAACCATGCTGATTATTGCTAATAACAACGTTTTTCCCAATGAATTCCTGAATATTGTATTCCTTAATAACCCTTCAAATATTTTCCCAGTCACAGAAGTTAAGCTCACAGGTCTATGATTTCCAAGCAAGGTTTTGAAGCATTTTTAAATATAGGAACGACATCTGCCTTCCTCCAATCCTCTGGTGCAATACCTTTTAAATAGAAGCGGTCCCAAAATTGATCTATACATTATAAGAGTGGGCATTTTTTATTCTCAAGCCTACCACATGGTCGGTTCCGGCACACCACAATCGACTTTTCCCATGTCAGGCATGCTCTTCCAAATACTTTTATCGCTTTTGCCCCTAACGTAAATATATATATAGATATATATATATACACACACACACCAACACACAAACAGATATTGGGTCGTCCAATAATAAAAGAAAAGTGTGACTTATGGGGCTGGCATACATTTGTATGGCTGTTTTGTATCCAAGGTCCAGTTCTGGACAAGGGTATATAAAGGGGGTCATACTGTACTCAGGAAATATTGCTGAACACATTTTACTAAATTTTATTATAATAAATAAATGACAATAAAGCTAAAAATAAACCATATTGTGGCGGGATTGCCTAAACTGTGAATTGCCTTGTTTCGCTTGTGTGTGGTTGTGTCCGACTAGAATGTGTGTTTCCCCTCTTTCCTATTCCTTTTTCTATAATTGTGACTATAAAGTCATGCAATACACCTTTTGACCAGCCAGGGACCTCAGTTAGAACGTTTTCTCCAGCGGATGCCTGAGTGTGGGTATCCACCGGAGAGAGGGACGCGCGCCAACATGGAGTCCCTGGGGCTGTGAGTCGGTCTCATGGCCCCAGGGTTCCCACTGGCCGCATGGAAGTCTGTGTCGACCAATGGCCGAAGGAGCGCCAATTCAAACTGGGTTTGCGCCATTCACCTGGTTGGTTGGCACAAGAAAGTGCTGATTGGTCACCGCTGGGAGCGGGTGACCAATCAGAGAGAGAGCGCTGGTTCATAAAGGGTTTCGCGCTCTTTTCTCTGATTGGGCAGCCAAAAACTCCTTTGTCCCTGGGCGCTGATTGGCGCAAATTGGTTTTGCTCCTTTCAGTGGATTGGTGCAATCGGGTTTCGCGCCCTTTCCCCAGATTGGGCGGCGAAACCCCCCTCCTCCATGAGCACTGATTGGTGCAGCCGAATTTCGTGCCCTTCCTTCGGATTGGGTGGCTAAACTCCTTCCTCTCCTGAACGCTGATTGGCACGATTTGGTTCGCACCCTTTCAGCTGATTGGCTGTTGCTTGGTTTAGGCGCGACGTTTGAATTCACCGGACTAAACCAAGCAACACCATGGAACTACTTTCGGTGATGTACAGAGCCTTGAGCCCCAGACTTCCGACTTTCGATATCTCCGGCTCTGTAAATCCGATCGCTCTGCTTTTTGCAGGGGTACCAGAGGGGACCCGGGGCTATTTAGCTATGTAAGTGTTACCCTGTAACCAGGGGCGGACTGACCACTCGGGCACTTCGGTCTTGGACCGAGGGCCCGAGGCAGTCAGGGGCCCGGCGCACAGCCATGCTCCAGCTGGAGAGATCAGAGATCTCTCCAACTGGAACGAAAAAATAAAATAAAATTATTTACTTGATAAGTTGTGGGGCCCCTGATGCAGCGCGGGGCCCCACAACCTACCACTCTCTAAACCCACCCCCCCTCCCTCCTCCCAATGAGACCTGGCAGCTTTACTAGCTCTCTGCCAGGTCTCCTGCTTCCTGTCCCTTGGTGCTCTGTGTGATGAGAGATGCGGGGCCAGGAAGTGACATCACTTCCTGTTTACTCCTCTCACACAGAGCCCAGCGTGGGGAAGCAGCTGCAGCCTGGGAGACCACAAAGAGCAGAGAGACAGGTAGGCTCTAGTCACCCCTCCCCCCCCCTCACTGTCACCAATCACCCCCCCTCACTGTCACTAGTCACCCCCCCTCACTGTCATTAGTCACCCCCCACTGTCACTAATCACCCCCACTGTCACTAGTCACCCTCACTGTCACCTCACCCTCACTGTCACTAGTCACCCCTCACTGTCACTAGTCACCTCCTCACTGTCACTTCAGTCACTCCCCTCACTGTCACTAGTCACCTCCCCTCACTGTCACTAGTCACCCCCTCACTGTCACTAATCACCCTCACTGTCACTAGTCACCCCCTCACTGTCACTAGTCACCCCTCACTGTCACTAGTCACTCCCCACTGTCACTAGTCACCCCTAGTCACTCACTCCTCCTCACTGTCACTAGTCACCTCCCCACTGTCACTAGTCACCCCCCCCACTGTCACTAGTCACCCCCTCACTGTCACTAGTCACCCCCCCACTGTGTCACTAGTCACCCCCACTGTGTCACTAGTCACCCCCTTCACTGTGTCACTAGTCACCCCTCTCACTGTGTCACTAGTATCCCCCTCCCTCACTCTGTCACTAGTCACCCCCCTCACTCTGTCACTAGTCACCCCCCCACCGTGTCACTAGTAACCCCCTCCCTCACTCTGTCACTAGTCACCCCTTCCCTCACTCACTCTGTCACTAGTCACCCCGTCCCTCACTCTGTCACTAGTCACCCCCTCCCTCACTCTGTCACTAGTCACCCTCTCCCTCACTCTGTCACTAGAGTGAGTGGGTGACTAGTGACAGAGTGAGGGAGGGGATGACCAGTGACAGAGGGAGGGTGTGACTAGTGACAGAGTTAGGGAGGGGATGACTAGTGACAGAGGGAGGGATGGGGTGACACAGTGACAGAGGGAGGAATGGGGTGACACAGTGACAGAGGGAGGAATGGGGTGACACAATGACAGAGGGAGGGGGTGACTAGTGACAGAGTGAAGGGATGACTAGTGACAGAGTTAGGGAGGGAGTGACTAGTGACAGAGGGAGGGATGGGGTGACTAGTGACAGTCACCACCTCCCTCTCTGTCACAAGTCATCCCCTCACTCTGTCACTAGTCACCCCTTCCTTCCCTCACTCTGCCACTAGTCACCCCTTCCCTCACTCTGTCACTTGTCACCCCCTCACTCTGTCACTAGTCACCCCCTCACTCTAGTGACAGAGAGAGGGAGGGGGTGACTAGTGACAGAGTGAGGGAGGGAGGGGGTGACTAGTGACAGAGTGAGGGAGGGAAGGGGTGCCTAGTGACAGAGTGAGGGAGGTGGTGATTAGTGACAGAGGGAGGGATGGGGTGACTAGTGACAGTCACCACCTCCTTCACTCTGTCACTGTGTCACCCTCTCCCTCACTCTGTCACTGTGTCACCCCCTTCCTCACTCTGTCACTAGTCACCCCTTCCTTCCCTCACTCTGTCACCTGTCAACCCCTCACTCTGTCACTAGTCACCCCCTCACTCTAGTGACAGAGTGAGGGAGGGTGTGACTAGTGACAGTGAGGAAGGGGGTGACTAGTGACAGAGGGAGGAATGACTAGGGACAAAGTGAGGGAGGTGGTGACAGTCACCACCTCCCTTACTCTGTCACCAGTCATCCCCTCACTCTGTCACCAGTCATCCCCTCACTCTGCCACTAGTCACCCCTTCCCTCACTCTGTCACCTGTCACCCCCTCACTCTAGTGACAGAGTGAGGGACGGTGTGACTAGTGACAGAGAGAGGGAGGGGGTGACTAGTGACAGAGAGAGGGAGGGGGTGACTAGTGACAGAGTGAGGGATGAGGTGACTAGTGACAGTGACCACCTCCTTCACTCTGCCACTAGTCACCCCCTCCCTCACTCTGTCATTGTGTCACCCCCTCCCTCACTCTGTCATTGTGTCACCCCCTCCCTCACTCTGTCACTAGTCCTCCCCTTCCTTACTGTCACTAGTCCCACCCTCCCTCACTCTGTCATTAGAGTGAGGGGGTGACTAGTGACAAAGTGAGGGCGTGACAGGTGACAGAGGGAGGAGATGACTGGTGACCGAGTGAGGGAGGGGGTGACTAGTGACAGAGTAAGGGACGGAGGGGGTGACTAGTGACAGAAGGAGGGAGGGAGTAGTGACAGAGTGAGGGAGGTGGTGACTAGTGACAGTCACCACCTCCCTCACTCTGTCACTAGTCACCCCTTCCTTCCCTCACTCTGCCACTAGTCACCCCCTCACTCTAGTAACAGAGTGAGGGAGGGGGTGACTAGTGACAGAGTTAGGGAGGGAAGGGGTGACTAGTTACAGAGTGAGGAAGGGGGTGACTAGTGACAGAGGGAGGGGTGACTAGGGACAGAGTGAGGAAGGTGGTGACTAGTGACTAGTGACAGTCACCACCTCCCTCACTCTGTCACTAGTCACCCCCTCCCTCACTCTGTCACTGTGTCACCCCCTCCCTCTGTCACTGGTCACCCACTCCCTCCCTCACTCTGTCACCAGTCATCCCCTCACTCTGTCACTAGTAACCCCTTCCTTCCCTCACTCTGCCACTAGTCACCCCTTTCCTCACTCTGTCACCTGTCACCCCCTCACTCTGTCACTAGTCACTCCCTCACTCTAGTGACAGAGTGAGGGAGGGTGTGACTAGTGACAGAGTGAGGGAGGGGGTGACTAGTGACAGAGTGAGGGAGGGGGTGACTAGTGACAGAGAGAGGGAGGGGGTGATTAGTGACAGAGTGAGGGAGGTGGTGATTAGTGACAGAGTGAGGGATGGGGTGACTAGTGACAGTCACCACCTCCTTCACTCTGTCACTGTGTCACCCCCTCCCTCACTCTGTCACTGTGTCACCCCTTTCCTCACTCTGTCACTAGTCACCCACTCCCTTCCTCACTCTGTCACTAGTCACCCCCTCTCTCACTCTGTCACCAGTCATCCCTTCCTTCCCTCACTCTGCCACTAGTCATCCCTTCCCTCACTCTGTCACCAGTCACCCCTTCCTTCCTTCACAGTGACAGAGTTAGGGAGGGAGTGACTAGTGGCAGAGTGAGGGAAGGAAGGGATGACTGGTGGCAGAGTGAGGGAAGGAAGGGATGACTGGTGACAGAGTGAGAGAGGGATGGGGTGACTAGTGACAGAGTGAGGGTGGGGGTGACACAGTGACAGAGTTAGGGAGGGAGTGACTAGTGACAGAGAGAGGGATGGGGTGACTAGTGACAGTCACCCCCTCCCTCCCTCTGTCACTAGTCACTCCCTCCCTCTGTCACTAGTCATTACCTCCCTCTGTCACCAGTTATCCCCTCACTTTGCCACTAGTCATCTCTTCCCTCCCTCCCCCACTCTGCCACTAGTCACCCATTCCCTAACTCTGTCACTAGTCACCCACTCCCTCACTCTGTCACCAGTCACCCCCTCACTCTGCCACCACTCAACCCCTCCTTCCCTCACTCTGCCACCAGGTACCCCCTCACTCTGCCACCTGTCACAACCTCCCACACTCTTCCACCTGTCACCTTCTCCCTCATACACTCTGTCACCTGTCACATATGCATTCACACAGACACTATATACAAAAAAGCACATGTAGTCATCCAGACATGCACAAGTGCATTCACACAGACTCAAATACAAACATGCATTGATACACAGGTCTTCACAATATACACATCCAAAGGAATGCCGTATTATGAGTTATATTTAACATTTATTTAATGCATGTATATTTGGCCTTCAAAGGGCCTGGGATCTAATTTTGCCCGAGGCCCCAAAGGCTCTCAGTCCGCCCCTGCCTGTAACCCCTTTCCGTCCCGGGGCACAGAGCCCCAAATTGTAACCCCCTTATTGTAAAATGTATTCATGTGTGTCCCTTGTGTCTAGTTAGTATCTCCCAGAGCGGGAGATGGTTATCTATTCCCCAGCCCCCTCCTGTATGTGTTTTGTATGGTGTTGGATGGAGACCCCCTGCGGGGGTCTGTGCATAAAAAGCTGTGTGCCCAAATAAAGATTGTCAAACATTGTATCCTGTAACTATGTCCCGTCCTGTTACTGGGGAAATGGGTCTGACCTACTCTAACCAAAGGAGATAACCAGCCAGGTTCCCCAGGTCCTGCTACACATATGACATACTACCTGGTGTCTACTTTTGCAAATGGTATTAATTTACGTGGTAATTTGAAAAGTTTAGCTGCTATAAAGCCCCAAAATTAGATATAGGCCCATCGAATACAATTCTAACTTTAAACTCTGAAATGGTTATGTGTCTTATAAGGCATTGTAACTTTTTTTAATTGTTTCATAATAAATGAAAATGTATATATGCATATGTCAAATCAAATGAAAATCTTTAAAAAGAAAAAAGTATATAATATCTGTTGGTGCAATAATTGTAGTTGGTTTCAATCAGCTTTTATTTGTGTCATCAAAAATGTACAACAGTGCGATAGGATAGAAACATAGGAGACACGCAGGTCTCGCATAGTCGTAAATAGCAATATGATTGCAAATGAATGTAAAATTAAACAGTATTATCAATTAGGAGGTAATAAAACATCAGTATCGGTAAATTCTTTATGGTGCATGCGTTTAATATGCAGATGTATGCATCGTATGGCCACATAGTAAGTAAGTGATTGTGTCAACTCTGGGTGATCCAGTCGGAGACTGTGTAGTAGGTGGCCAAAAATCGCCTGATATCATAGTGATGGTATGTAACCTAGAAATAACTTCTAGGCGGATAGGAGCCACTATATTGTCTATGGCATAGCTAACCTGAAAGTTGAGTTCGTAGGGGGGACTTATCTTCCCATACAGTATTGGTATATAGTTGGTTTCCATGAAGTCTCGTTGCCCATGACCGCGCACTCCTTGCGCAGACCCTGTTACGTCGTATGGGTGGTGTAATCAGTTGGGTCAGTCTATAATAGTGGGCATTAGAAGATTAGCGGAGCATCCATATATCACCCGTGGCTTGCCGTACCTTCCCGTCCGGCTGTGGTTGGGACTAGTGCGCGCGGTCAGTGGGGTTGGACTCTTACGCGAGGGCAGGGAAAGAGAGCAAGCTGTGTATAAAGGAGAGCAAGAAGACAGGAGAAGATGGGGAAGAGAGAGGGAAAGAGAAGAAGAGAGAAAAAAAGAAAAAGGGGGGTAGAGGAGGGATTTTGAGGGGCACCAGTGTTGTGCCCGTGGTAGTCTTGGATCCGTGGTGTTCCGTGCAGTTTGCGGTCACCCACTCAGGGGTGCGGTCGGGGGGGCGTGTGTCTCTCACGGGCCCTGCCCCGCCGGCCCCCGCACCCCGTCCCACCACGTAGGCCAGCCACGGCCGCCACCTCTCAACATGTTTCTCCTCCATACTATCAACGAGGTTTGTATCGATTCCGCCCTGTATATCTCCTCCACTCGTTCCATTCATAGTCTGATCGTCAGGGTTACATCTTGTTTCCAGTGCAATGGGATCAAAGCCTTGGCGGCGTTCAGCAGATGTCGGAGTGTGGATTTCCTATACACTCCGATGGTGTCTGTTGTAGAGTGTAGGAGGGCTGTCTCTCTGTCAAACCTGCCGTCCATCCCCAGTATTTCCCCCGTCTTTTGACATTGTCCCAGAACGTGATATGTAGGATTGTTCCTCATCCCTCTCTGCATCTCCAGCATGTGTCAGGTATCGCCGGGAAGATTCTGTGAAGGCTGTTGGGCGTTCTGTACCAAAATGAAAAGAGCTTGTAATTGGTTTCCTGATAGTTGGAGCTCATATGTGGTGTAGGATCAGAATCTTCTCCCATTGAGCTGCAGTAAACCATATATCCAGAATGTGTTCTCAGCGGCGGTGGAAGGTGTCTGCGTTCTCCAGATGGCATACAAGGAGGTTTTGGTAGATGAGGGATGTTGACTTGTCTAGATTGGTCCTTCGGTCACAGAGTGCCTCAAACCACGTCAGATCCCTATGTAGGGCTTCTCTGTGCGGTAGGGTTTAGTAGAAATATTAAATTTGTGTATAGCGGAAGATTTGTATAGTGGATGGTTGGTTGTTGTCTGTCAATTCCTGCAGTCTTACTATGCCTGTGTTGTTCAGCATCTTATAGATGGGTAGGGACTCTCCCTCACTCAGAACATTCCACGACGCTGGCGGCAAACAATAATTGTAGTTGAACACGTGCATAGCTTGTGTCAGTAAGTACGAAGCAATCAAACTGAAGCTGTGTCACTGAGGAGTTAGTAAACATGGTCAAAAATGATTCATTTAATGGTCACTTTTTAGATTGCTTTGATAACTACCCCTCCATTTTTTCTTCACACTTTTTTCTCTCTGGCACATTTGGACCTTCTATAATCCTAGGAATGGGTCTCTGTGGATTACTGATGAAAATTACTCACTTCAGCATTCACAATATTTACTAAGATATTGCTATTATTACCTTGATCAACCTCTAGAATTAACTTGCTATATGTTGCCTCCTCTGCTTGGTTCACCTATTGCTTCTAAGGGCATCTTGGTGATTATTAATTAAACTAGGAATTGCAGAGACCTGTCAAGGCAATTGCATATTTGCCTTGGTCAAACTGGTACCTAAGGCTAAACATATTTGGGAATGTAGGAAAAACCTAGTAAGTGTTATCCTACAAAAAAAACTGTGGACTTGTCACCATGGACATACCTGCTTTTGAGACTGGTGGAGGGACACCCTTCTCATGAAAACAATTACTTAATAGCTAAATGTATATTCCTAGAGGAACATGACTGAGCATTGGTGGAATCATAAGCCTCCCTCGAGGTTGATGGTATATCATAAGCTGAGAGATAAATGTTTAATTGGCAGTTTCATGGCCAGCGCTATGGTCAATTCCACGTATTGAGATAAGGTATCTTCTTACAAGAAATCTAAGTGTTTGGAACAAGTGTTTGAGAGCCCAGCCGAGAGACATATATATCAGAGACATATGTATCTATATACTAAGCATATAATTATGTCTAATTATATAAAAATAGCACCATGTTAATAATATTGAATATTCATTGATCGAATCTAATGAATAAATCTCATATTATTAAAATTAGCTGAATGTGTGTAAAATATATGCATATATCACATGTTGTCACCTGTTACTAATATAGTCACATTAGCTTCATGCAATAAGACAGTGTAACTGAGAAAGCCAGACACAGATAGGATTATCAAGAAGGGATATTCCCTAAGTAATTACTTTTACTTTTAAAATTTAATGGGATTTCTACAGGAACCTATTGGAAGAAAAAGTTGAACCAAATTCCAGTCATGTCAAAGGGATACTTTATGGCCCGAAAACGAGACTGCAAGTCTCACAAATCTCTTGAAATTTGACAGCTAGCTTGATGGATACACCATAGTGATAAGACATTTTTGACGTTATATGCATAACAAAATTCAATTAACCTGTTAGACAAAGTGGTAGTTGGAATTCGTAATGAGAAATTATTGTGATGCTATAACGCCATCTACTGATCAATGTCTATAAGACAATCAGTAGAAGAAGGTACACCCACCTAATCCCATTGGTCACTTAAATTAGTGATGTACAGAAATTTAAGATAAGAAATTCTTTAAAATATGGGAACCAAGGAGAGAGATCCAGGGGATTGGATGCAAGATCATCAGATGAGACCAGACAAAGAAACAGACTCTGGACACACCTAACACTCTGTATTTCCATCTGAACTTCTGGGACTTAGTTAAAAATTATTTGCTAGTAAGACCTATCTCTATATTTCTACACTTCTCTATCCAAACACTTTCTACTTGCATTCACCATCACGGGAATATATCACCAAGCCTAAAGAAATTTTCTACCAAGAAAACTGGTTAATATGCTGGTTTAATTTAATTTAATTTAAATTAATTATTTTTCACTAAAAGCAGGAATATACCTGGATAATGCTGATCAGTTTTCAAAACTTTTAAAATCATATTTAGCTGAGAAATATATAATTCCATATTCCATATCTGCAGATGGAATAATAAGAATAATATATTTACTGGTAACTTGCCAAGTTTAGCATATCAAGCGATTATCCAGAGATATTAATAGCTGCAGCTTAATTAGGTTACTATTATTTTGGTTACTACCGGTAGATGGAAGAAAATAGTTAAGCTGACTATTTGTGTAAGAAATATTGTATCTTTTAGTTGCAATATTCAAGTGTTTAGCCTGTGAAAATTGTAGCCAGCAGTGAGTGAGTTAATTCTCTGTGTGACTCTAGAAAACTGACAGCATCTAAGGTGTTATGACTTGAAGCTACAAAGCTCTGTGTTGCATTCTGGGTGTAAAGGAATCTTCTAGCAGAACTCAGAAAGTTTCCTGTAACATTGTTGAAATTCATCTATGTTGAAATAACTGTTAATTAAATTCTAGAGCAGCGGTTCCCAAACTGTGTGCCGCTGCCCC